CTCGAGGGGTTCTGGTGGTTGGGACACCAGCGCCCGAGCTTGTCGTTGCAGGAGCCCACCCTTGACAGTGGAGCACGTGGCAGGGTGAAGGTGTTGCCAAAATGGTCTGAGGGAAAGAATATGGTTAGCGACATACTACACCAGCCACGCCACCCCGTAACACCGAGCACATATGGTACTAGCAAATAACAAACTTATAATCTTGAAATGGTGCCAAAAACTTTAAACAAGCACCATACTTGGTTGTATGGTACAACGAGCAAAACCATATGTTTACCAGGATAATACCACCCTTGTTTTGTTTCGAGCACACCAATTTTTTACTGTGCCCTCCAAAAAAATCTCCACGTTCTAACGATGACTCTCCTCAGGCGAGGGCAAGAAGGGAGACACCATCATATTCACGAGTGCACCCACTCATTACCTCATTTATGAGGCGAAAACCGTGGCATGCACACAAGACGCAACAGCTGTTTATACGTTAATGTGCGTTTCAACAATTATTTCAGCATGGGACGCAGTCTAAGTTTGTGCGGCCGTGATGCAATAACCTCCTCTAAAGCGATCCTCCGAACTGTGTGGAAGTCAATGTCTGCATAGAGGCCCCTGTAAGAAACACCGATTGAAAGCACCAGCAGCAGCAACAGGAAGATGTTGAAACACTGTTATGTGCTTTGAGAACCATATGGCCGGGTGTAACTAGGCAAAACCTGTGGCGTGTGAAACGTGATGTGTCAGTTGGCCAGGTGTATCTGGCATAACCTGGCAAAACCATATTGGCGTGTGGTGCGCCGAACCGGGGGCGTATGGTGCGTGGAAAGTGGGGTGTGTGGTGCGCGGAAAATGGGGCGTGTGTTGTCTGCCAAGAGAAAGCAACAAGAGTGTCACCAGGAGAGTGGGAAGAAAGAGAAGGGCGCACCAGTAATGGTGCGTGGGCCAGGAAGTAGCTGAAAAAGTATGGCTCTATAACTATGAGGACGCGGGAAGTCAGGAGAGAACTCACCAGTAGTGGTGCTTGAACGAGGGGAGATGCTGGGAGAAAGTGGAGAGCTCACCCGAAGTGACGGGGGAAGGAGGAGAGCTCACCAGAAATGGTGCTTGGACCATGTACATGTGGGGAAGGCAGGGCTCGTAAGGCCATGAAGAATGCGGGCGATGGCACGGGCGTTGACAGGTGGCGCATCGGGATTGGCTTGCTGGCAGCGCAGGAACACCTGGATTGGAGGCAAGAGAGGGGCGGGTGGACGACGTGTGGGTGTATATGTGCAGGCGTGTGCGTGCGCATGTGAGCATGCATACATGTGCATGTGTGTGTGTGCATGCATATATTCACATGTGGGTGTGCATGCTTGTGTGTGCATGCGTGTGTTGTGCGCCATGATCCGTGTGTGGCCGAACGAACATTGCTAGCATGATGTTAGCAATGGGATCCCCATGTGTTAGCCCGATGCATCATGCCTTAAAGCCACATAACTTGATGCCAAACTCAGAAATACCCCCACTTTATGTCACCCTCCTTTATATTTCTCGATTTTATCCCACTCACCTTTATATTACTCAATTATATTCCACTCACCTTTATGTCGCTACGAAGAAATTGGCTAACGAGAGGCGATCCCAAATGATGCCGTTGACAAGCCCAGTTGTGCATGCATACCCAAGGGGAAACATAAAAAGCGGCATGCGTTTTCGTAGTCCATTGCACAGTCGAAACATAAAAAAAGACAACAAAGCGGGAGCATGTCAGATGGCCGAGCAGCGACAATCTCAGGGCTGCGTTCTCTGCACTGATTCCAGTGACGCCTTGACAAAATATTTTTGAGGCGCCTAAAAAAAATGAAAATCTCAGGGCTGCGTTCTCTGCACTGATTCCAGGGATGCCTTGACAAAATATTTTTGAGGCGCCTAAAAAAACAAACAATCTCAGGGCTGCGTTCTTTGCACTGATTCCAGTGATGCCTTGACAAAATATTTTTGAGGCGCCTAAAAAAAAAAACAATCTCAGGGCTGCGTTCTCTGCACTGATTCCAGTGATGCCTTGACAAATATTTCGAGGCGCCTAAAAAAAAAAACAATCTCAGGGCTGCGTTCTCTGCACTGATTCCAGTGATGCCTTGACAAAATATTTTTGAGGCGCCTAAAAAAAAAGGCAATCTCAGGACTGCGTTCTCTGCACTGATTCCAGTGACGCCTTGACAAAATATTTTTGAGGCGCCTAAAAAAAAAAAAAACAATCTCAGGGCTGCGTTCTCTGCACTGATTCCAGTGACGCCTTGACAAAATATTTTTGAGGCGCCTAAAAAAAAAACAATCTCAGGGCTGCGTTCTCTGCACTGATTCCAGTGATGCCTTGACAAAATATTTTTGAGGCGCTATTAAAAAAAAAAAACAATCTCAGGGCTGCGTTCTCTGCACTGATTCCAGCGATGCCTTGACAAAATATTTTTGAGGCGCCTAAAAAAAAAAAACAATCTCAGGGCTGCGTTCTCTGCACTGATTCCAGTGAGGCCTTGACAAAATATGCTGGCAAGTGCTTGCTTTGGTACAGGAGGGTACATGAAGAACATCTTATACTTTGTGTGAGGATATGCAATGCAAGTGCATGCATGCGTGTGTGTGTCGGTCGCACATGTGGACTTGAGCATGCATGTGTGCATGCTTGTGTGCATGCTTGTGGAGGCGAGTGTGCATATGTATGCACATGAGTGTGTGCATGTATATGTGTGCATGTGTGTGTGCATGCATGTGTGTGCATGCATATGTGTGCATGCATATGTGTGCATGTGTATATGTGCGTGTGTGTGTGCATGCGTATGTGTGCATGTGTGTGTGCATGCATATGCGTGCATGTGTGTGTGCATGTGTCTGTGTATGCATGTGAAGGGCTCACCTTCCCACCAAAATCTCACCTGGCTGTGGGCACAGCAGCAGGAGCAGCAAGCAGCCTGGGCACAGTGCCATCCCTGGAGTCAAAGTATGCTGAGATGCAGCCATGCAGGAGGGCTGTCTGCCGCCCAGACAGTGACTTGTGCCAGTCAGAAGCGAGAGGGGGAGCCATGGTGTCTGCAGCTGGCGATTCGGCTGGCACTTGCGCCGCAGCTAGTGCCACAGAATACATGGCGTCAAGCTTAGCAACCTGGAGAGAAGTGAGGTGTGTGAAGGTGTGTCTGCTTTAAAGTCGACCCAGAAGCAACTGCCAGAGTACATGGCACCAAGCTTCGCAACCTGGAGGGAAGTGGGTGTGTGAGGGTAGATGTGTCTGTGAGGGCAGGTGTGTGAGGGCAGCTGTGTGAGGTCTGTTTATAAGTCGACCCAGAAACAACTGCTAAAGAATACACAGCATCAAGCTTAGCAACCTCGAGAGGAGAGGTGGGGTAATGTATCCAAGTCCTCGCCCCCCACTCCCCCCCCTCCCCACTGTCCCCTTCCCCATACAGATCTACTGCATGATGCCACACAGCTTTCTTGCAGCCACACCTGGTGGTGGTGTGCGGCACCAACGTGGGAGTACTGCTCACCTGCTCACTTCCAGTACTCTTATTTCCTCTTCCCCCTGCTCCCCCATGCCCCTGTCCCCTCAACCCACCCTTTTCACCAGATCTACTGCATGATGCCGCACAGCCTGCAGCCCCACCTGGTGGTGTGTGGCACCAACGTGGGAGTGCTGCTCACCTGCTTCGACCGCAGGGCCGTGCCCCCCGCAGCCGCGCTCCCTACGCCCCAGGGCTCCCGGCAGCACCAGGTGGGCTATGAGGCAGCTCAACACTAGGCAACACCAGTTGTGGTTTGAGGCAGCTCAGCACTAGGCAGCAGCAGGTGCATCCGCTTTTTCGGCGGCTCAGGTTAAGTTAAGGCAGCACAAGGTGAAACCCCACGAGGTATCTTGTGAGGCTGTCAGGACAAGCTGTGCCCGCTGTCCACGACAAGCTGTGCCCGCTGGGAACGCAGAGCGGGTGCCGCTGCCCACACTGCAGGGGTCTGGGAAGTAGCACCAGGTAGAACCCGACCAGGTATGTTGTGTGAGGCTGCCAGTACATGGCTTGGAATGCAAAGCGGTGCCCCAGCAGCAGGTCTGGGCATACCGCAGGGCTCCCCAGTAGGGGCTTCAACTCGCTGCGCTGCTAGAAGAGCAGAGCAAGGGATGGATTCGATCCGCAGAGCAAGCCTTCTGTGTATGTCGAAAGATAAGACTAAACTGAGAGACGAGAGCGGGCCCTTCTAACTTGCTGCACTGCCAGGTGACGTCCTGTCTAAGCAGGGGTTTCAACTTGCTCGCATTTCAGCTCATGATTTGAGTCGACTCCAGAAATATCTACTGCCTTTTGCCCTTCCCTTCCCCCCTGTGTTCCCCACCAGGTGGCGCTTTGCATGCTCAACGTGCTGGCCTTTTTGTATCTCTGACAGCAGTCGACTGCAATACTCTTTCCTGCCTTACTCCCATTCCTCCCCCCCCTCTCCACCTTTCTCCCTGCCCCCTACGCCAGGTGGCGTTCTGCTGGGCGGGGCCTCACTGGATTTGGCCTTCCAGCTGCAGACAGACAGCAGTCAACTTGGCACTCTCTCCTTCCCTCCTGCCCTCATACCTCCGTCCCCCTTCTCACCCCTCAGGTGACGTTCTGCCTGGGCAGGGGCCTCAACGCGCTGGCCTTCAAGCTGCTCACAGCAGCGCAGTTTGGGCCTGGGGCAGGCGTCACTGTGGCTGGGGGCGGGGGCACCCAGAGGCCCGTCACCCCCGCTGGAGTTACATGCGTGATGCCCTTGAGGCTTCTGTGCCTGAGGTGAGTCAGTTAGTTAAGGGTATGGAATGGGTTTTTGAGTCCTGGTGCACACAGCATCGCAGTTTGGGGCTGGGGCAGGGGTCACTGAGCCTGGGGGCGGGGGCAGTGGCAGCCAGAGGCTCAGAGTGGATGCTCTGGTTGGAGGCAGCTGTGCTGAGGTGAGTGGGTGGGTTGGTCACTCTCCAATTGGTGTGGAGTGGAGGTGTGCTATGGGAAGGGGGGGCGTACGTAGTTGTCTGCCTACCTTCCTGTAGGTAATTTTGTAGAATTGTAAGCAATCACCGTCACTCCTTTAAGGGTGTGTAGGAGTGCCGTTAGGGGCGGAGCATTGTTGCCAGCCTTCTGCTCGCGTGGGCACACCTGAAATCACTGAAACCTCTGAAATCTCTGAAATCTCTGAAAGCAGCATCCGACGGTCCCTGTTTGCTTGCTTGCCTGGAATCACAGTGAACCTGACTTAGCCTTCTTGCTGCTTGCTTGTCTTGTCTGCTCCTTGCTTGTATGCTTGTCTGTATGCTTGCCTTGTCTGCTTGTCTTGTCTGCTTGCTCCTTGCAGGTGAAGCAGGAGCGGCTGGAGAGCAATGTCTGTTGCGCATGAGAGCTACTCGCACCTCTCCGTCAGCAAGTCGGGCAAGTGAGTTAGTCAAGTACAGATAGTATCAAACCCAGCAAGCATGACTAAGCTCGGCAAGTATGCGGAAGGAGCCTGGCTTGAGAGGCGGAGAGCAGCACCTGTTTCTCATGGGAGCTACTCGCGCCTCTGTCAGCAAAGTCGGGCAAGTTAGTGGATCCATTCAACAGAAGTCAGCTATAGTCAAGCTCAGGGTTTAGGGTAGGGGGTCAGGCTCAGGGTTTCGGGTAGGGGGGTCAACCTCAGGGTTAGGGTAGGGGGTCAGGCTCAGGGTTTAGGGTAGGGGGTCAAGCTTAGAGTTTAGGGAAGATGGTCGAGCTCGGGGCTTAGCATGCGTACCGTGTGCCCATCACTTGACTTGTGCATAGCACGGCCGACTGGGATGCTGTGTTCACATTCACAGCGCTCATGCCGTTGCCCCCTAACAAACCCCATCCCGTGCTCCCTCACAAAAACACCATCAGGTGCCTGGCAGTGTGGCAGTGGTCCGAGGTGCCCTTCTACAGCGTGTACAGCACGGCCAACTGGGGCGTGTTGGACTTTCATTTGACCCCCCCCACTTGCCACCTTGTCCGTGTATCCCCATGACCCCCGTAATACTATCAGGCACCTGGCGGTGCTGTGGCCCAAGGTGCCCTTCTACAGCGTCTACAGCACAGCCAACTGGGGTGTCGTGGATTCTCATAGACCGCTTTCCCTTATCCCATTGTCCCCATGACCCCCGTAATACTATCAGGTACCTGGCAATGCTGTGGCCTGAAGTCCCCTTCTATAGCGTCTACAGCACGGCCGACTGGGGTGTGGTGGACTCTGGCACTGCGCGACACTTCGCCTGGGACACCTGCCAGGACCGCTTCGCCATCCTGGGAGGGGCTGTGGTGCCCAAGGTGTGTTTTGAGTGAACTGTCCTCTCCTACCAGGACCGCTTTGAGGGATTCTCCCTTTGAGTGCATGTGGACCGTTCTTTCAGTGTGCTGTGGTGTCTTTATGTCTCCATGTGTGGTGAATCGATACTTGCTCTCTCCTTGCATCACACCCACCCCTCCGCCCGCCTTATCACCTGGGACACGTGCCAGTGGTGACACGTGCCAGTGGTGACACGTGCCAATGGTGACACGTGCCAATGGTGGCACGTGCCAGTGGTGACATGTGCCAATGGTGACACGTGCCTATGGGGACATGTGCCACTGGTGACACGTGCCAATGGTGAAACGTGCCAATGGTGACACCTTCCAATGGTGACACGTGCCAATGGTGGCATGTGGCAGGATTGCATTGTCATCCAGGGGCGGGGCAATGGTGCCTAAGGTGCTGCCTTTTTGCATCATACCACTAACAACTTCAGTCAAGTCGAACTCCTATCATTTGAGCCAGAAAAGGACGCCACGGAGGCAGAGGTTGCAGTGGCTAGCAGAGTCGAACTCTCTCTTGCTTCTCCTTTTGGTTCCTTCTGGCTGGAGGCGGAGGTGGCGGCTGCTGCTGCAATGGCTGCTGCAGCTGAGCAATCCTTGTCATGTGCCCGCCCCCTTCCCCCAGGTGCAGAGCAGCTCTGCCAGCTCAGGGCGACATGGTTTCAGGGGTCGCAGCAAGAAGGATGCAAAGCAGGCGGAGGCGGCAGCTGCTGCTGCCATGGCTGCTGCGGCTGCAGCACTGGCCGGGGCGACTGTGGAGGTCAAGCGCATCTGGAATGGCAAAGTGCAGATTGTGGGTGGATCCATTGAATCTGGACGCAAGGAGCAGGTGTGTGCAGCAATTGGTGAAACATGCGGTTTGAGTTGGCTCACAGTAATACACCCGGATTTACTGAGTCTGAAGGAGCAGGCCGGGCTGTGCTCAAATAGCTTTAGTCAGAGGAACCGAGCTTGCAGCTACCTACCCGACTTTTCAGGAGCATTGTGCCCGTCTGAAGGACCAGGCATTCTGTGCTGTGCTTAGCTGAGTGAATGATAAAGCCTGGCTTGGGAATGGACTCAAATCTCGCGGCATGCAAGTGGTGGCATGGCTCACCACTTGAACCCTGCTAACAATGCTTTCTTGACGCCTCCCATCTGTTTCTCCTCATTGCGTCCTATGTGCCCCCCCCCCCCCCCCCCCCCCCCCCACCCTCTCCACACCCCCAAAACCCCCTCCCCCTCCTTCCGCCTTTCCCTTCCTGGGTTGGGGCCCCTCCCTCATGCACGCCCCTGCAGGTCACGGGTCTCTTCCCAGGCGCGCTGCTGGGAGTGGCCTACAGGATGCCCAAGAAGGCTGCGCTCCCCGGGGTTAGTCTGCTCTCTGCTGCGATCTCCTCCCGAGCTGGTGGGTTTAGGGTCTTGGGGTTTTGCATTCTCTGAAACCCCAAGGGCTGGCTGCTGTGCTTGCTTCCCGTGTGTAATTGAGTCTATTTTTGAGTCAACTCAAAATAGACTCATTACACATAAACCCTAAGGTCTGGCTGCTGTGCTCGCTTCCCGAGTTGGTGGGTGTTGTGAGAACCACTCTAATATTTTCCCCTTCCCCTGGGGCCTATTGTTCTGCCTTTCCTGCCCGGGTTTTGGAAGCTCTCCTTTGTTGCCCTTTTTTTTTCCCTTTTTCTTTCTCACGTACTTTCATCATCTGCCATGTTCTCTTCCGCTGTTTTGTCTCCAAACTATCTCCTCTTTCCTTATCTTTCCAATCATGTTACCACCTTTGGCTGGGCCCCCCAG